ACGTAACCGTGTCTCTCAGCATAGTCGAGAGTTCTGAACTGAGCTGGTGCCTTGTTCAATCTGGTGTTGGCTGTGAATATCGAGCCACGGCCCTTTCTTTGGTTCCTAATCACCCTACCCACTGTTTGACGAGATGTTAGCAGACTTCCAAAGCATGCTGTCGAAGGATGGGGTTATTCTGAGTCCAAATGGGAGAGCGCCAGTTGAAAAAGGGCGCGATCAATCTCATTTTACGGTGAAAAATGATCTTGGAAATTTTCATCTATGATGTCTTGGAATTGCAAAGCAGAAATTGAAGTTGTAACTTACTTTTTGCAGTTGTCGCGACGATTTGAGAGAATTGTGTCGGGGAAGAGGTTCAAGAACTTTCATTTCAATAGAGGAAGGAACGAATATTTCGAGTGTGTGCCTGCCAAAATGATAAGCGACCGCACTAGTCCCCGAAAAGAATGGATGTTATGGCCTGAAGTTCGAGATGAATAATTTAAGGCTGCTGTTACAAGGATACGCTAGTGGATATTTCTACTGACGACTGTCGATACTGACCCAAAATCTACCTCAACAAATGAATTCCAATGTCATGAATCGCGGCCCGACAATGAAAGGCGGTACAATGTACCAACTAAAGGTAAACATTGAGGACTGGTATCATTGTTTGAGTTGGGTTATCAGTATCTTGGTGTCAACCTTGACTGACTTTTCCCTTCATCGCTGCATCTTGTGTTCTACATCATATATCATTTAAGACTGATGTCGCATTAATCGATTCAAGAACTGCACACGTTTTAGTTGGTGGTATCTACAAGCTTGTGGATTCATTGGGGATTTCCTGGGCCTTTGGATAGTGTTCTGAGGCGATCTTCAAATTCTCCAGCGTTCTATCAACATGTCTTCATTATTGCCACTTTTTGTTGTGATTGTGTAGTACCTCATGACTGTGTGGATTTTTGAAGTTGGTGAATTGCATGGGTGGTGCAGAGCTAAGCCATGTGAGCCATATGCCCTACGCAGCGAGGAATTGCGGGGTGCGCAAATCGCGACCAGATAGCAGGCTTTTCAATGTCCAAGAGTATTTCAACTATCGGGAATCACTTCTGCCCATTGTACTGTTGTACAGCTTGAACTTCATGTACTCATTGTATTTGCGATTCTTAGAGTGTTGCGGAAATTTTGTTGTCTCCCTCACCAATCCGAGTTCCGAGCTACTACCGTGGACACATTTTCAAAGTCCCAAGTTATTTGAACAATTGAGAGGTCCGGTTTCTTCCTAAATTTGAGGCTGGGCGTTATGCGCGCAAGATACGTGGGATTAACGCACTATGACTGGCATGGAGATTTTGTGTCTTTTCCTCCAAGTTCGCGTTTCAACCACAGGCACGTTTTCAATGTCTGAAATCAGTTCAACAATCAAATGGCCTTCATATGTTCAGGCTTTGGCTTTAGCTAGAGAGACATGACGTTGCAGAATTTAAGTTGTGGACAGTTGTATATTCGACCGTCCAGGTACTTTCGTCACCACTTAAACCCCGGGTGCAAGATCAATCACAATTTAGCTTTCGACGTCTTAATTATTACTTCCTATCCATCAATTCCAATAATTCTTCGTCGGATACAGACTATTATCTCTTTATGTATATATTTCTATATTTATATGAAAATACAATTGCCAATTGTGAAGGAGGGGTTATCCGATCGTATACGAATTCCGTACGGTAAGTATATGTTTAACAAATTTCTCTATGTTTATATCTTCAAAAAAATTCGAGCCAGGTGAGTCCAAAATTGTTTCCATTGAGTATCTTCGTAAGCGAGTGTGGGTGGTTTTCCCTTACATGGCATTGCCGAATTTCCAGCCCAGGCATCAAACAACAATCCAATGTCTTATTGAATATAGAGCATTGGGGAATACATAAGGTAAAAGGGATGGATGTTGCTGTGGGTTTCTTTGGATGCGAAATTTCGTGCGTCACTAAAGATGATACTACCTACCGACCATAATACGTCAGATAAGTGCGATGGTTGGGCGGGCAAAAAGGCCAATACTTGAGTACTTGAGTTTGGATTTGAGCAGTTATTGTTGGTGGAAGTTGGAAAGGGAATGAACTTCGTGGGGAGAGACAAACGTGGTATACGACATGGGGTTAGGTGGTATCAAAGAATGCTCGGAAATATCGAATCGTACTATTGGACTAATAGAAAGACTGCTGGTACCTTATTCACCGCTTGCCTGACGTCCCTTTGTGTTGTACGTGCGTGACAGAATGTTTAGACCAATAAATCTCAAGTCGCGCTTGTCGGCAATATCTTTGAGCTTCCTCTGACTTCATCATCTAAAAAGCTTCTTATCAAACAACCTCAGAATCCTAGGATCTCAGAATCTCAGAACACCACAACTCAACCACAACATGGCATCTTCTGACGACTCTTCGGATCTCTCCTCTGTACCATCTGAGGATGAAAGTTTACAATTAACAAAAAAAGATGGCATTCTTAAATTCTTCTCAAAAGCCCCAAAACCAACTGCTGCACGTAAAATTGAGACTTCTCCACCACGACCAAAGAGAGATCCATCACCACCTCATGAATATGTTCTGGCAGATAATCCAGATATCGCCGTACGTATAACTCTTATCGTCGCGTGTTAGAGGATTTTACACGTACAAATCGCGTGGTTGCGGTGTTCAATGGTTGCTAACACAGATTCTATGCAGTTTATCGTCATGTTCCGTGCCCGGTTCAGTGAAGTATTCCCGAAATCTCTACCCAACTTTGGACCCCAAGAATTGGAACACGCTGTTGTTGGTACTACGCCTGGGGAGCATGCGGAGCAATTTCTCTGCGCATTATTGGGGCTTCTCTTAAATAGAAAGCAGGATGTGAAGTAGGTCATATTTGCGACATGTGTGCCGTGGCTCGCATAACTTCGAAGTTTCTGCAGATTCAATGGCTAATCACTTATCGAACACAGAGCTGGACATTATAATCGTGCTCTCGAGGAAGCCGTTCAAACACATAAACTACAATGGGCGAAGGATTGGGAAAGCAAGAACCCTCTTTCTGGAGGGGCAACGTTCACTTCTATGTCTCCTACAGAGCGGGTAGGTCACTCATCCATTGTCTACGGAAGGATTGAACCTTGCTGATTTGAAATTATAGCTTACTCTATTACGTACCCTCATACTCTGGTCCTTAGCCTCCTCCGACGTGGTTAAGGGTATGATTACAGCCTCATACAAGCAAACTCGCCATGAAGATGATTTGAACCAACCACTTTCTGTACAGCCTTGGGGATCAGATGCCGACAGACGTCGTTACTATTTAGTGGAAGGTCTGGACGACACACACTTTAGAGTTTACAGGGAGAGCAACTATACCGGCTTGAAGAGAACTTGGTGGAGCGTTGCAAGTGATATTGATGAGTTGAAATTGTTAGCAGAGAAACTAGTCAAGGACGATGGTGGTCAAAAAGCCCGAACGCTAAGTGGGAAAATGCTTGCGGCAGTTCCACGTTTCGAGGCGACTGAAGAGGTATGATCTTCCTAGTCTCAGTACTTTCTTATTTTCAGATTGACTAACATTTTACAGAAACGAAAGAGAAGAGAATATCGACAAGCTCGTAAAGAGCAATTTAAACGTCCTGAACCAAACTTCTCGATGTATGAAGGTCGTACCAGAGGAAAGCGCATGAAGTACACGTACTCGGACGATGAAGATGAGGTCTTCTCTGACACTACTGGATCCCGGCGTTCTACTCGAAACACTGGCAGCCACACCCCAGCTGAGCCAGCGGGGCCTACTGTTACATTAAGTGGTCGTCAGGTCAGATCTCGTGTTGGTGGAGTTTATGGTGAAAGCATTATCGGTGGAACGCATGCTGCTGCGGATAGTCGTGGAGACGTCGAACTGGGTGAAGAGTCAGAAGAGGTAACTTCTAGGCCACGCCGTGCTGGTGCTTCCAGTCGCGGTCGCGATTGGGCTTCTAAGGGAAAGCACATTGAGGGATATAACTCATTGGACGAAATGGACGACGATGAGGAGGAGGATGCTAGTGAGCAAGATTATGGCGATGACGAGGAAGACGACGATCAAGTATCTCTAGCAAGCGATATTGAGGAAATCGAAGAGGAGCCTGCAGAGGAGACCGATGGAATTGAACAAATGGAGGATGACGAAGACGAGAAGAAGAGCTTAATTGTCAAGCTCCCAGTCAAAACTCCAACACCGGAGCAGAAGACTACGATTAAACTCCATCTAAGTCCACAGTCTAAATCAAATTCGGACAGCGTGGCTCCTCGACAGGATCCAAGCCCACCTACATCTACGGAAGTCACCAGTGAAGGGAAGGCTATTTCGACCGAAGCCGATAAGAAAATCAAGCCGATTTCCATCACGACGAAACCAATTCAAACTCAACTCTCGCCTACTCTCACTTTCCGTGGTAGCCCTGAGAAAGCTTCCACCCTGCCACCATCAATCAATGTCGGCTATGGTGGGTCTTAATGTTGTAATTTTTAATCATGATAGCGGGTATGGAAAAAGGCGTAATATTGACAAAAGGCGTAAAGATAAATGGAGGGTGATTTGCTTGGATGGGAGCTACTAAAGCTGATCATTGGGTATACTTATGTTCTCCGATATACATAGTCATCTTCCGAGGCATATTAACATAAGTATTTATGCTAGTCTTAGCTCATGATAGAATGGAGAAAATCTCATAGCTATTGCACGATAATTTTATGCCTACATGTGTCTTCTCCATCCTACCACGATCGACCTCAAAAGAGCCCGGTACTTGAAGAGAGATAGATACAGTGCTATGATGAGATAATGCATCAAGTTATTTTGCTATCCCAATATATCAAATGCATCCTCACAATGTGTAGTTCCGTCTACTTGAATATCTCAATATTTAAACCAGTATTTTTCACTGGATTGTCCCAAACGCCGCCCATGCAAATGCAATTCCATTTCTCAAAACACCCCGTTCATCATTCATCAGCTCAATCTCCAGCAGAAGCTTGAGTCTTATAATACTGCCCAAATCCATCAGCAACGAAAAATTAATAGAGCATCGCGAGGGGACTCACATCCCCCAATTCCGCCGCCAATTTCGCATTCTTTCCGATCTCTGCTATCTTCTCCTTGATCGGCCAGTTATTAACCGTGTACCACCATCGACGGACTCGGGCGCCGGCACTGTTGCCACTAAGTTTGGCATTCTTGTTCCAGTGCTTCCAACCAGCCCAGAGGAGGGTTACAGCAATGCCTTGAATGAGTGGCATGCATACCTAGGTGTAAGAATTAGCCTGCGTGTTCCGTATTCTTCAGATGAAGAATAGATAAATATTGGGGGGGGAACACACTTGATCTCTAATCGTTATGAAAGCAACCTTCCAATATGAATCCGCATGTGCAATACTAGCCAAATAACTCTGCTCAAATCGTAAATCGGGTATTGGTGGGAAACTCGCACGCCGTGGCAATGGTCTTATAACATCGTAGGGGATATCTTCTATTTCTTCCTCGCCATCGATACTATCTTTATCGTCGAATGCGTAGTCTGGATGAACAGTTACGGGCTCTTTGCTGGAGGCGGCGGTAGTGGGATTTATGTCATGGTTGGGAGATGGATCGCGCTTTATTGAGGCACTCTGGATTGTAGATGCTATTTCGAGGGGGGCAGAGGAAGACATCGCAAAATAATGAAATTTATTGGTGTAGATATCTGAATTTCGTGGTGTTGATAGCTTTGAAGTTGCTCGGTGGAATTTGCCGGGCTCCGAGGTTCTGATTATGCTGTACGAATTGGTGAAGTAGAACAAAAAATCACATCACTGATATGAGATACACTTTTCTCTCACATCCAACTAATGTAATTCGGATTTCTATGCTTCTAAAAGTATCTACACTATCTATATCTTTTCATTGTCATCTATGGTCTTAGTTCGACTTGAAGGCGACTAGAGGATTCTTTCGAGTAACACAAAATTGTTGTCTAACATCTCAATTGCATGCTTCTACAAACTGAAATACTGATTTCGATGTCAGCTACTCTAAAGGCCATAGCCTCAGACATTTGACAGTGTTCGGGTGGTTAAACTGTACAGACGTTCAGATAAGATGTGTCAATATCTAAAGTAACCCAATGTTCGAGGTGGGATTCAATCTTTTAAACAATTTGAAAGTTTCAATTGTGTTCAGGAAATGGGAGACCTTTCGAAGTTGATGTCCAGTCCGGGCTATTGAAAGCCCCGGTGGTGCTTGCTTTCAGCAAATGATGGTACTTAGTGGACCACTCACTACATTGGCCGAGAAAATACAGAGTTTACCATGTTTGTGCAAGGTTATCGGAACCTATAGGCGCTTGCCCCTGGATGGAAAGCAAAGTACATCACACAGCTAGGTAGACTACTAGGCATGTACTCTGTGTATTGGTTACACACCATCTGGACCAAATATATAGGGTACTTATTACTTCACATGCTAGCTCGAGAATTCACAACATTAAAATTCAGGTCATTCCCAGACTATCCTGTCTTGACTTCGAATTCCACTCTCTCACGCTTTTGCTTCATTTCAACACAATGCCTCAGAACTCTGAAAATGCTTCTTCGGGGATGCCTTCCCCATACGGCAATCCCGTAGCCATCAAACACCAACAAGAAGCCAACCCTAATTTGCCTGACCACCGCTACCAAGTTTTCCAGAAATCTCTGCTTGAGCATGAATACCATCACGAGGAGGCATTCGTGTCTGCAAGTCTCACACGCCTTCATCATGGAGTCTACGATGCGGAGAACCGATTGAGTCTCTATGGACCTCCGCCACACAAACGTTACCTTTGTAGCCATAACTTTTGTTTTTCATCCCATGCACTCGGTTGAGTATAGATTTAAAAGAGCTCAGATTAGCATCCAAGCTTTTAAGAATATCGGGGAGAAGACTACAAATTAACCGCTGAGGATTATCAATATGCTCCACATATTGCTTTTGGCCGATATTCGACGGAGAACTTGCACTGGACTTTTTCCTTAGGTCAGTAGTGAAACTATACTTTGATGACATCAGGACCACATGGATTTGATCGAGCAGCAAGAGATACGTAAGCTTTAATCGCAGTTTGCAGTTCAAATCCGAAACGCTATGAACCTCTTTAGACAGGCTCGGCGATAGACTAAACAATGAATAAGCCGATATTGTTTAGTTGCAGCCTAGACTATTGAGATATCTGAATTCGGTCATCCAAGAAACACTTCTAACTTGCTTTCAGGTGCAACTCTAGGGGTCTCTACGCCAGCAACTGCAACGGTCACCCCATCCACTGAATACGATAGATCAAAAGTCATCGGTAACATGTTAAAGATACAGGGTTCAACTCGATCTGTTGAAGGAATGCAGAGCAGCAAACTTCTTTGGTCACTTGAAGAGAACGAACAGCAGTGCACTGGGCTCCCTCGAGAATTCACCTTTGTCTTCTTGGTTGAACAGCCGGTAGCTAAAGCACCATTCTCCTTGCAGATTGGAATTAAGCCCGTCTTCTCAAATAGTCTCAAAGCTACGAGCTTTGGCACCGAGATCACGAAGAAGTCTGACATATTATCAGATGAAGTTGGACAAGTGTAGGTTGCTTCTTATTAGAGGGTAGTAACGAAGACTTTCAAGGGTGAAGATGTCTCTCCAATCAATTGTTGACCTTCGTGGCAGGTTTTCCAGCAGTCCATATGCATTCAATTTTGCTACCATGCTTGGGCGATTCGAAGATTTAGTGGAGCTACCAGGAAACGCCTCGAGCATTCAAGTAAGACTTTTTTTTACAATAGAGGGATTATAATGTTAACATGCTTGCAGGATTACATTGGTACTACTTCAAGTGTCCCCGGTGCTACTCCACCATCTTCATAGTAAGTAGGATCTTCCCTTTTAAAATTCGCTATTGGGCTGTTTGCAATAATGAACATTCTACGTTGCAGCTATTACATATTTTCTTCGGCTGTGTTCATGACCTCTTATCATATTTGACCTGATGTCAATCACTCTCTGCAACTGCGTGTCAATTAGTCTCCTCCTTCCTTTTGGACACATTTTGACAATTCATTTAAAATAAAACATTGTCAGGATACATTCGTTGTACTGTAGTCAACCCAACGTATTGCTCGCAATATTGCGGTGGGACCAGAATTTCAGGCGTAGACTTCCATACTTCATTCCATGTAATGGGCGATTTTCCTGCACCGCAAAGGTCTGTAGGACGTTCTCGCAGATTGTCCCATATGTCAGAGATATCTCGATGTGAGAGAGGCTCTTTGAAGGCTTTCATCATGGTGTCTCTATACTCCTCCAAAGATTTATCCATATCTATATGCCCATATGATCGAAATGATCGAAATTTCAATGGTGCGGTGTTGGATACCAATGCATTACAGCCATCAAAAGAAAAGGTAGGCTGGAGGCTAAACCATAGCGTGGGTCTTCTCACCATAAGGTGGTATGTAGTTTTGTGTTGTCTAGGTTATAAAATCAACAGAGCAAAAAGTCATCCGGATGCGTTTCTTTGGGTCAGACTCAGGGAGCAAATTCCACAATTGCTTGAATGCCAGGCAGCGAGAGAGCAATCTAATGCTAGTATTTCGGATCAGTATAGGCAACCTTGTAGTATACTATAATAAAACTATGACGTGTATTAATTAATGTATTAATATAGCAGCTAGTGCGTTTGAAAAGGAGTATATATCACTCTCATAATTATTCTATGAATATTGAAATCTAATATAAAATATTCACTTTTTATATATTCCTATTTATATTAGATTAGAGACTAGGGATTTTATTTCAATCTGAAATAAAGAATAAGATTCTATTGTTTAATTTGAAAGGAATAGATATATTGTAATTAATTCTAGTATTTCAATATATTACTAGTAATCTTGATATTCCACTAAATAATATTGAATACTTTTATTAATATAGCTTTTGATATTACATACGATAATATTTTAGAGAAATTCAATCATTATCATCATACTGACTCGTGTTTTGATTACGGGAAATACTATTGTCTATACTATTTCGGATTCCGATGACGAAACACTACTAATAGCGACACGAAAGATAATATAATCGGAATGAATTTCCTAGTTATAGAGCTTCGTGCTCAGGACCAATCATTACTTTCAAGGTATGTTCACAGGAATAGCAAGTCATTTACACCACTTATTGAATTCCTACTCGAATTATATCTTTTCTATATATTTATAAATAAGTATTGCTTACATTCGTACACGCAAGCTGTGAATAGTGAATATGGCGTTCTCAAGTATGGTCCCCAGAAAATTTTCTCGCCTTCCCTTTCCCATTCCTTATTACGTTCACTTCCACTTTCATTACTTTGCTTCTACTTTTACTTCCTTCTCAATTTTTCCTCACGACTAGAACGTTTTTTTCATGAGTTGTAATCTCATTAAGTAACGGGTACAATATTACCAGCCCCTGCTATGTCTTCGAACGCAATATACTCCATATACCTAGCCTCCTGGGTAAGATCTTTGACATGGTATTGATAGATCTTGTACACAGACTAATATATACGTAGCACAACTTGTTCCAGAGCCGTCTTTGGTTTCAGAGATAACTCACGTGTGTCTGGCCTTTGTGAGCCCGTCTTTGTTCATCAGCCCGGAGCCCCCATCCCCTTCAGCCCTGGAGCCATTCTTTACGAACACCAGCGCGATCCGATCTCAGTTTCCCAAAGACGTAAAGGTATTATGGGCTCTGGGAGGATGGGGGTGATACGGAGTCATTTGGTGTTGCGGCAAGAAATGAAACGAGCCGCAAATCATTTGCGAAGAACATCAAGTCTCTACTTCATATCACCAATACAGATGGCAAGATGTAACAAATCCTTCTCAGGAGCTAGTGTCTGATTTTTAACAGGAGTTGATCTTGATGGGAATATCCAGGGTAAGCAGAGTTCTCGGCGACTTCGGAATCCTTGCAAGCTCATGGAGATAATTTCATTGCTAACACCAATTTGATAGTGGCAATGGTGATGATTATAAGCAACCTGGAACTACAAACTCGGCTAAGACTTGGGAAGTTGAAGCTTTCTCAAAGCTCGTTTCTGAACTTCGATTTGCAATTGGCCCCGAAAAGATTCTCTCCGCTGCTGTCCCTGGCCTGCATCGAGATATGATGGCATTTGGTCCTGACAATATTCGAAAACTTGTACCATATATAGATTTCTTCAATATTATGACCTATGATTTGATGAACCGCAGAGACAACGTCACCGCCACACCACGCTGGTATTGAAGGATCCCTTGAAGCGGTGGATCGATATATCAAGAATGGTGTTCCTCCTCACAAAGCAATCCTTGGGTTTGCTTTCTATGCGAAGTGGTTCAAGATCGTTCCACTCGAAGAACATCATGGACCCATCCGTAGCCCATTAGGTCTTCCTACTGTTCAAAATGGAAGATCTCGACACGGGGGCCGATCTGGGTAAGTCTGGAGCATTTGTTTGGTCGGAAAACCCTTCAACCTCAGTTGAGACATCCTTCAAGCGAGCTATGGCACTGGGACAGTACGACGACCGCCACAAGGGTCATTACTTTCTCGACGAGGATGAAAGTGTATTTTGGTCATGGGAGACACCAGAGGCAATTGTTAGGAAGTTCAAGATGGTAATGCAACAGAAAAGGCCTCGGTGGAGTGTTTGCGTGGGAATTAGGTGGTGACTCAAGAAATTGGAGTTATCTTAAGGCCCTCAATGATGTTGTTAAAGAAGCAAAATCATCTGGAGAAAATAGTATGATCACACGGAACATGGAAGTATGACAGCCCTAGCTTGAACCAAAATTGCAATGGTCTCAATATCAAAGATATGGTGTGATTATATGATGACAACAATGTTTTTACTAAAAGATTACGAAGATTAGCCTCGTAATCACTTAGAAGTGATAAGAGTCTTCTCAAGGTATTCTCGAGCTGATATATATTAATATCGAAAATCGGGTTATCTTCCAGCCTTACTCTCAACAATTATTATAACTTCGTAATAATAATATTCTCTATTTTTATATAAGAACTCTATAATATTGAAAATTACAAATATTAAATAAGTATACTATTTAATTCAAAAGATACTATAAAACTTTTAGAATTATCTTTAAATTAGATTTATAATATAGTACTTCGTATAGATTTTTCAACTTAAAATGTTTTTTAAATCTGAAATTCACTAATTAGTATTTTGATATAGCTTATTATAGAAGAAATAAAACTAAAAAGAGTATTAACTATTGTTTTTATCATAAAATAATATAATAATATATCTTTTTGAATATATATAGAATAAAGTTCTATACTAGTATCGAATCACATGATCAAAACACGTGATTGTCGCTTATAAGTTTCCGAAAGCAACCATACGAAAATGATTATATTTAGCTTCCGAAAACGATCATTATTAGTTTTCCGAAAACGATTATTAATAAAGATATGAAAAGAAGCTTTATTTCGAAGGAATGGCCGGATTAGGAAGAGATCTACAAGAGATTAACGAAAAGCGGAAAGCTAGAGTGGATTGGAAAAAGTATTAAAATAAGAGCTTTTTCCTTTTTAATATAGAATAAGAAAGTGAATATAAATATATAAATATATAGATTTATAAATATCACGTGTTTCATTGCTTTTTAGTTGTTAAACTAAGCCAGCTTCCCATAATAGATTAATACTAGTCTATTCCCTCTTATATTCTATTTATATTAAATACTAATTACTAGCTCATGACCTACGATATTAACATTAATAGTAATTATATCACGGAGGTAATAGCTATGTCTAATGGTCACTTGATCAGGAGATAGGTATATAGAGTGATAATAAACTAGATTGACTTGAGGTGTGATCATAAGGATCATACCTGCTTTATATACCCTGATCAGGCGATGGAGTCGCCTAATTAGGTATATAGGGTACACAAATGAACTGAGTGAAATAGTTTTAGTAATCATGGGAATGAGTACTCCGGAGGAGTACTAGGATTAATACCGTAGGGTTACACTATACGGTGAATTCCGTGACAAATTATTATATAAACAAAATATATATACACTAGTCAATATTATAACTATCTAGTGTGACGATTGCATCATTTAGAATACTAAGGTGAAGAGCTAGAAGAGCTCTTCGGAAGGAAGTGGTAATATACAGGATTGTGGATCACGTGAGGACCTAGCCGATCCACTAATATGACAGGATCGTCACATCTAGTATTTATAAAAAAGATTTATAAATAACAAAGATAAAAATAAAGATTATAATTTTGTTTTTAAATATAAAAGATAATGACTAATATAAATAGATATATAATACGTATATATAATAATTACTATAGGGTTTATTAATAAGGAAAGATTGAGACGGATTCGATTTGTTAAGAAGAGATAGAAACAAATATAGAAACTTGATTCGAAATAATTGACTTTTAGAAAATGTATTTGCAAAATGTTTATTTACTTGATAATAAGAATGAGGTTTACCCCTCCGTTAACAAAAATAGTTTGTGAAGATAAATCACTGTTGCATACCCCGATACACATATCGACACCCAAGTTCGAAAGACAAAAAAAGCCGTTCGTATGAATATTCCCAGAGCTTCATGTTCTTCATTAGAATGTGCCCCAGTTCTGCGTCTGTGTCGCATGTTTCGCCTCGAGAAGTCTAAGGGTAGCTCGCAGCACCGCCGCCACGTTTGCTGCTCAAGAAGTGAATAGCAGTTGTTCCAACAAAACAAGCCGCTGTGAACCATATGAATGCCGTGCTTGCTTGAACTTCTTGGCATCTAGCCTTGAGGTCGTCCTCCACAGCTTTGACAACATCACCGGAATATTGTTTGTGTCCACCAGGGAACATTGGATTGGGATGGTCTTGAATATAATTCAAATCAGAACAGCTGCCGACCTTGATAGTCACGGCATATGCCTAGGTAACAAGTCTATTAGCAAGAGCTGAGATAAAGTGAAGAAAATGACAACTAACGATTCCACCAGCAAGGAGAAAGAAAGATGCAATGCCATCAAGAGCAAGCATTATGATGCCTTGCAAAGCTTCCACGAAACAAGCAGCAACCCCAATGGCAGCGAATATAAGAGCAGCTCCACCACAGAAAGACCCATAAGATGTAAGGGACCACGAAGTACCCGGACCATAACCATGAATCAAGATTGCAGATAGTGCTAGAACAACAGCTGCGAACAGCATCTGAAGAGAGTTAGTTAGACAGTCTTTGTGCCGCAAGATTCGGCGAAAGGCTTACCTGGAGAACACGGAGTGCTAAAGTGACAATCATGTTGGCTTGTGTGTAGGGTGCTAATTATATTGGAGTATCAAGATATTTAGATATGAATTGGTTAAGGGCCACTTGGTTGAATACACTGTGTATTATATAGTCAAGCTCCACAAAGTTTAGCAGGGAAGCGAGTCAAGATCACTAGGCTGAGACCAGGGATTGTCATGTCGTTGAGGATGAGATTTCAGTAACATAGGGAAGGTAAACATCTCCTAGGGAGAACCCCGCCTCCATGAACACAGCCTGTATAGCGAGCAAGAAGCCTCATTGGAGGATTGCGGCACAGTGTTTCATGAACTATCCCATAATCAGTGAACTATCGACGAAATTGATGTCCAATATCAAGTCATGAAATGAATCTTGCTGCAGTGTAATTGGTTTGAGCGCTTAGAAGTATGAAGATGTGCATGTGTGACTCTAAATCAAGTGTAACAAATTCTGACGGTGTTCTCGAATTGGATGAGTGGTCCGAATTTTGACGGGTGCTGCCTTGGCAGATATACACCCGAGAAACAAAGACGTTACACTGACAACGTTGTACGTGTTGGATAGGTAGACAACACACGCCAATTTGACGAATATGCATGTGATTCATGCTGTAGTACATTTCAGATAATCCAAACCCCAACAGTAAACAACACCAGTGCAAAACATCAATAGCTCAAACAGGAGCCAAGGAAACTCTGCAATGCTTGAGAGGATGCTCAGCGAGAGGATCCTGTCCTCATCCAAATTTCCGAAACATGGGGGAATTGTGCTGGGCCACCATCCAAAAATACATCTAAGATTAGATCCATGAATCAATACACCGTGGACTTGACAGATGTGTTCTGGGTAAGCCGAAGCCCTATGGATATCATAAATAAGAAATTCAGCCTCACCGGTTCCCATATGAGCAGGAACGGGGGCCAAGAATAGATGAAAATCTGCGAGTGTACATGAGGTTTTATGGGGGCTGTTTAGTATGAGTGAGATATAACCAGGCTTTACGTTAATTTCGACCAATAATTGAAATCAGTCAGATCTTAGAAGTGCTCTCTTGAATTACTTTCGAAAGTCGTTCGAGAGATGAAACATTGACAAACGGTTGGATCCGTTGGATTTATAGCCTAGTCACCGCCACAGCCACACTTTAAAATATGCTTACAGCCACATCTGATTTGTCGAATTGATATGGCTATCGGCACGCACTTCAACCACACATGTTATTTAGTGGAATGATATCCCAATGAGTCTTCAAGTGGAGTCTCTGGATATAGAGAATAGGTCTCAGGATATAGGGAATGAATCTCGGGATATTGAGGATGAGATTCAGGAACTGGAGAGGAAACTAGCAGTCGCAAAAGCCCGATTAGGCGATCGAGCTATATCCTCACCATTATCTAAAGATAAAGATCCTATTGCTATCAACAATGGTGAGAACATACTCATCTCTTTGGATGAAAGCTTTCTAACCAACCACTAGTTCTCTCTCCCCAGTCTAACCATTTCCTTCTCCTCCTCTCCGATTCCGCCCTCCCACTTGGTTCATTCGCCTTCAGTAGTGGTTTAGAATCCTACCTCGCGCACACAAAACCGAGATCATCATTCCCGGATTTCCTAGCCTTCTCACTATCTTCCTATGCATCTACTACCCTCCCATTCGTACTCGCTGCGCATCGGAACCCTAGAGATCTGGTTGATCTAGATGATGCTCAAGATGCATCGATCATGTGTACTGTGGGAAGACGTGCTTCGATTGCGCAGGGAAGAGCTTTATTATCTATCTGGGACCGATCATTTTCCGCTGCTTTGTCTAAAGGGTTGACTACTTCCGCTCCAGATGATGGAGTTCATACATTGAAGGAATTCTCCATGCTGCTAAAATCTATATCTTCGGCACCCAAAACAACATCTGGAGAAATACCGCCCGTATCAGCTCATCTTGCTCCTTTGTTTGGCGCCATTACATCAACTGTGGGAATGAGTCTAGAACAAACAGCTTATGTATTTATGTTAAGTCATGTGAAAGCACTGCTTTCAGCTGCGGTGAGAGCCAGTATGTTTGGGCCCTATCATGCCCAGAAGGTTTTGGCGAGTGAGGAGGTGCAAATAGGAATCAAAGAAGCTATTGAGAGGGAGTGGAATACCAAGGTTGAGGATGCGGGTCAAAGTGTACCGGTTATGGATCTATGGATTGGGAGGCATGAAATGTTGTATTCGAGAATTTTCAATAGCTGATGGTTGCATGATGACATCATGAGAACACAACCAATCACGGGACATTGGTACATTTTTTCCATTTTATTCCCTTATGACTTCTGCGTTCAAGGCTGAGACAAAGCTCCTATAATTTTGGCTCTTCTAAGCGACCGAATATTATACAGTATACATGACCATACTACGATAGTTGACCGACTCCTAAACTCCATTAATCCCCCATTTAATCACTATCGCTATCATAAGCTACTAATGGCCCTGCAGATGCTGTGGGTTTTGGTTTCGTCGCAACTGACCCCTTGGCACTTTCTAGTGCCGCCAAAGTACTACTGGAAAATATACCTCCACTCTCTTCTTTCTGTTCCGTCTGTTCGTAGGCATCCGCTTCAAGCATGAGTCTTTGCTCCTCTTCTAACTCAAGTCCCTGTCTACCCGCCGGATTTACCGCATTGGCACCTCTAGCAAAATAGACGTCATCAGGCGCCTCATAACCTGCTAATCCAAAACCTCCTTCTATCCTCTTACGTTTTCGTGCTTCCGGGTCGCGCCCTTCTATTTCAGCCACAAACTCTGCAGGTAGTGCCCTCCGAACAGCTTCCGCAGCTTGCTCTTCTATTCTCCGTACCTCTCGTGCTTGCGCCATCGGATTCGGATCGGCCGTCGCCCAACGTACGTTTAGGATTTCATTGTGGTCTAAGGATTGATGTGCCATTGCTTCTTTCGCAAACTGCGCATTGGCCTCATTCGAATATGTGATGAAAGCGACACCTCTCGTATTCAGAACTCGGACTAGGTAATACAGATTAGCATATGTTCATTGCCTCGTTTGAGAGAGAAGGAAAAGAACTTACTTCTCTCGACCTGGCCCCATTCGGCAAAATGTCGCGCAACAATCTCTTCAATATCATCACTGGCATGTATCCTTCCTACATAAATCGTCCTATTCTGCCTCATGAAACTTCCTGTACCTCCCATATCGTCTCTATAATCCGAGTGTTTATCGCGGCCAAATACATCAACGTTTGGATTGAACATATCATGAATTCCTGGTAATCGATGTAGATATTCACATTCCTGACCTTTTGGACAGATCCCCCTTGCAAAGAATAAACAGAAGTAACTACCTGTCACTTTGTCGGCTTTGGTATATCCGGTATCATTCGCAATGTTGCAACGCCCCGCAGCAGCTGTCTTAGATAGATATTTATCCTCCCGATCACCTCCTGACCATTTGTTATACCAGATATTAAAGATAGTACCAGTTTGTGGAGGAGGCTCGCTCTTCATCGTCGAGGGATCGACTTGGGGACGCGCTGGACGCTTTTTTCGACGGATGATTTTCTTAACTTTGCGCTCGGCGGGTGCGCCTGCTTCATTGTTTGTAGTGGTAAGGGCGGTAGAAGTTTCTTCCGGAGCTTCAGTGACCGGCGCCATGGTTGGAGGACTTGTGATCTCGACTTCGGCCATTTTTATGATGGATGTGGTTGTTGTGGTTCTGAGATAGGACTGAGAGCTTCGAAAAGTTTAAGGCTGAGGTCAATGCACCGCCACAATAGTTTACTTTTATGCCACACATCTCCATACCTAGGTAGGCCGGGGCTAGCAAAGCTAGGTAGGACGCAGACCAACTACAAGGTATTTTTACTTTTGTCTCTTGAAACTTAACATTGAATCGATATCTGAAATATTCAAAGACAATTCAAAAGAATGCTTCTTCTTTAACGATGCTAAACAAGACACGTAAGTCTCATGCGAGACATCCTCATTAGTTTGAGGGAGTAGTTATCGAGAGAAGACCCGGGTTAGTAACCTGCTCCTTATATACGAACTCCCCTGCTCCTGGTGAGCCACTAGCACAACCTTTATCCAGCCGAGCCAGCCTGCCTTTCGCGATTGATACTGGGTTTCCAACCATGTATTCGCTGCCAGCGAGCAGCCTTTAAGTCGTTAAACAAGCCGAGAAGTGCTCGAATCCGTTACCTATTGCTTTCTTTTTTAGCTACTGGGTATGTATATTTGACATTGGACACCCAGTCTCTGCCTCGTATCAGTCTGCCTTGCGTTAAGTATCGGGATGGTTCGCTGTGGTCGTGTAAATATGCACAGTGCCACATCCTCACATAACTACATCATCTCGCTCAGTAATCATTTTAAGGCTTCCCGTATAACATACCTATATCAGAACTCCCAACATTCAGCCGCGAGTCTTTGGAACTTGTGTGATACATTCAATCTTATAACCTATTTCGAGTCGAAACATTCAAATCATTCAATACACCAAATACACAAGTAATTGTCATTAACTCATGTTCGAAAGAAAATTCACATCTTTCCGAATGTTGATACCTTCCAGCCTTGACTTGTATTGAATATTGGCAGAACACAGATCCTGTCCGTTTACTCACTTCTACAGACTGCTCATTATGAGGTACGAAAAGAGAATCGAACCTCGTGTAAAAGCTCTCATTATCCTACTAGCAGTCGTCTGTTTTCCAATCACCTTATTTTGCATCTACAGACAAAGAGGACAAGGTGATTTCGATCGACTTCGGAAAGCACAAAGAAAAGAAATGGCCAAAGCTCGTAAAAGGAAGATCAGAGATCAACCCAAGCCGTTGGAAGAAAGGAGAAAGCGAGAATTATCTCTTGAGCCCACCGAACGAAGGAGGGATTTGACGAATGTTTTTTCGACCTGGAAGAGAAATAGAAAGACACCGGCAAGCCTCCTTCAACTGCCACCCCAGATTGTGGAGAAAATTCTGCAGGAAGTTCTAGGTGGGAACATATTCCATCTACTCCTATGTCGTCGAAGACTAGGGCATGTTCGCTGTAAGGAGCCTCATGATATCGAACATGCAGCCAGTTCTCAATACGACATTGAGCGCTCTTGCATTCCAAGTGCCCAAAGACGAAAGTACTTGGAATATGAATGGATGCGCCACCATACTCAAAGGCCCTCCCCATTCTATACACGTTCTGATTCTTGCCTCGCTGTTCTTCTCACGTGTCGCCAGGTATACAACCAAGGAATTCCCATTTTGTATTCTTGCAACACGTTTGATATCAACAATCCCGAGACATTACTTTACCTTTCACAGACCGTTATTCCTTCAAGATTCAAATCGATAAAATCTCTACAAATAGATGTTAATGCATCCATGGGTTCAAGTACCGAGACGGGGCTAGCTGACCCAACAGTAGAGTTTTCAGAATGGAAAATGTGTTTAGAGATATTGGAACGGTTGGACGGGTTGCAGAACTTGAGGTTGAGGGTGGAGTTCGAACTACAGGAATATTACCCTGATGTCATTTACAGCGATGAGCTGATTCAGAAGTCTCTGCAAGATTTACTGGATGTCATCAAGCTTAGTTCTTTGAGAGGACTGAGAAGATTCGATCTCGAGACTAATAGCCGGGATATCCAAGGTGTTGAACAGGCGGTTGAGAGTGTACGTGGTATTGTTTGTACTTAAGTAGAAGGTTTATGCGTCATATGAGGTACCTCGTATCACTATCCCTAAGTTTAGGATACAGTCTTCGGAGGAATGCAGCAAGTATAATAATAGAGAATGCCGTTCATTTCACTTTCACTATAATTCATTTGTATACCTAGCTAGTTTTCTTTAGGACCCAGGGGAAGAAGGAACAGCATTAGACTTGCTCCTTCAACGTTTGAATGGAATTCGATGTTCAGGACAGATGAAGTGTTCCATTTCATACAATATAAATAGACCAATGATATTAATGAATTGAAGTCCTTTGACCCTTGAGCTGCAGTCCGGACGACGATACCTTGAGTAAAAGTAACATTCATTCTCCCACCATCATAGCTATAAGCTATTCAAGGAATCCCGGAACGAACCTCGGATCTATTGTGCTCACAGATATCTATCAAACAGTTGGAATCCACAGTAAGTGTTGGTACCTACTCACCGGTACTAGTATCCACGATTTCAAATAAATAGACCAATTCCCAATCTCATTTCCCAAAAACACAGAACTATTCTTGCAACACCTAACTAACCAGTCAAACAAACGTCTCTTGTTCACAACATACTTCACCATGGCGCAAACCACCATCGAAACACCACCCTCCCTCCCCGACGTCCTAGTCCAAAACATCACATCAATCAAAAAAGGAGAATACGAGCTCGACCTACCCAGCTCATTTAGTTTCGGCCCCAGTAAGTGCCATGTCTCCAAGTCCTCTCCTCCGTATATCACAATCCCAATCCTAATTCACGACCCCCTCCCCCAGGAATCTTCGGAGGCCTAGTCATATCCATAACGCACCAGCAGTCCAAAAATACTTCACCGAAACACATCACGAATACAATCAACCCGATATATTAAGCATGTAATGGCAATTCTCCGTCTGCTCTTTCCCTCCATCGCAACACTAAGTATCAGGGATGTCCATCTCGGGAAATCCCCTTCCACTATCCTCGTTACTGTTAGTCAAAAAGGGAAAGAATGCATGATGGGTTTTATGAAGTAAACTCTCTTTCCCCTCACCTCCTCATTCTCAATTCCATTCCATTCCCTTCACCAAACCAGACCAAACCAAACAAACCCAGACCCTCCCTCTCCCTTAGCCTCACAAACCTCTCCCACACCCAAGTCTATTCCTTCCCCATCCCGCAGACCCTGCACCCCTCCCCCCACCAACACGCATCCCCCACCTCACAACCACCCCCTCCCCGCACTAAATCTCCTCCCAAACCCCCCACCACTCCTCCTCCTTCCAAAACATACACTCCCATCTCAAATTCTTCATCCCCCCTCCCCAATCTCCGCAATCAATAGCTTACCCCCACCCACCCCTCCACAACCTCCACAAACGAAACCCTCAGCTTCCTCCTCCACATCTCCTTTCCCATCCTCGATAACTTTTACCCGGAAAAGCGTCGAGAGGACAGGCTGCAACGGTGCAAGCAGGACTAGAACAGAGCAGAAGAGAGAGCGAGAAATGGGTGTGTCAAAGATTGTGGATGCGGAGTCTGGATCTTACCGAGCTCCCGCGATGATTACTTCTCTAGCGGCGAGTATTGAGATGAAGAAATTGTTGCCGCCAGGAGGAGCGAAGTGGTTGTTTATGAGAGCGCAGGCGAAAGAAATTAAAGATGGGAGGTTGAGTATGGAAGTTATGGTGTTTAATGAGGGAATGGGATTGGTAGCGTTTAGTCAACAACTTTGTCCGAAATAAGCAGAAGCTTTAGTATCGTCTCTGGGTATGGTGGTGCGATGGCTGGTCAACCTGATAAAGTTTCCTTCACTTGATTTACTGTTGTCTTTGTAAACCCGTGTGAGGGTGGTAGTAATTTTCATCATAATAAACATCTATTTAATAGCTCAAAAGAAACTCCTCCCAAATGCACAAACTCAGATAAACTAGCATATTAAGTATATGTGATGCCATATCCACCTATAATGCCCACTCGTTTTTGTCATCCGCAGACGTAACAAATGGTTCATCAATTCGTTTAATAGCAAAGTCGCTACAAAGGATACTGTTTCTTAAGTTAGCAAGACAAGAGCCGCCACAAGCATGCAAAAAACAGACTTACCAAGCACTAGCTACCAAACCGTCCAGCTCTGCAATTAAGGCCTCCCTCTTCGCACCCATAACCATACCTTTGCTAATCGACATCTGCACTTCCCTAATTCTCTTTGCCCTACCCACTCCCACCTGATCCATGACTCTCTTGCCCAAACAATCGCTGTGAAAAGCATGTTGACAAGGAAATACAAAGAATTGTCTGCTCAGCAACGGTAAGGTGCACACGTAGCATTTTTCTCCCGGTTCCACAATCGCATAGCGTTGATCGAGAGTGGCGATATCAATTTTAATATTGGTAGCCGTCTGAGATGATTCGTCCATTTCTTTCTTGAGAGAATCGATATTACGACTGTAATCCTCTAGCGCCGCGCATATTTCTTCTTTGAAATCGTCTATGACGACGAAATCTGGAAAGAAAGGAATTAAATCTTCGATTTTGAGGAGATCACAACGTTTGAGGAATTCAATGGCGGTTTTGATGCCATTTGATTGAGAAATGACTTTCTTCGCCACGGCGAGCCACAGTTTTTTCCGTAATGGGGGATTTGAAAGAGGGCGATCGGCAACGAGTGAGGCGAGATCTATCTCTGAATGTGCGAGAGCGAGTTCCACTGCTTGCAGATATTGCCCCATAGTGCTATATATGTGTACACATGATTGGACTCGCGAGTGTTGAATGCAGAGTCGAAGAGCAAAGTCTGAATCAAAACTTGGCTCGTCACCTTGTGATTCGAGATACGAAAGGAGAGCCGATTCATCCTTTGATGGATGAGAGGCATAAATTGAAATTAGTGTATTATGTACGGCAGCATCGGTTGAGTTTAGGTGATTGATGACATGTAGAAGGTAACGAATAGCTTGGTTTTGAGAAACAGACCCTTCAAAATACTTGTCGTAGTTCAGTAAGGCAGGAATGAGATTCCGAGGCTTCAATTCCGAGTGTCTTATAAGAATATCTACAAGATCAGTGGCCACATGTGTCATGAGTCCACTGCTGTATCTGTAAAAGATTTCGGGTGCTGTCTGCTTCTTCAATACATCCAACGCCTCCTTCCAACGTTCTCTTTGAATCCAATAGGAGAGAACGTAATTGTAGTCGTTTACAGCACTAGCAAAGAAAAGGAGTTCATCTTCCCTGCCGTGACTGCTAATTATATCGTAGGTGGTCTTCTTGTCAAGGTCACTTTTGTATTTTGTGACAAAATCCTGATATTCAGCTCGAATTGTGTCCAATTGATTTCTCGTCTCTGTAGGATTCAAATTCTCAGATAATTCTGCCTTAGTGACGATCGTATCGTCAAGAGAGTTAAGCTTCGACATAAAAATCTCAACAAGCCAACTTGCAATCATGATACGTTGCATAATGGAGGCCTTTCTGTAGGTTGTGAGTTTTGTAAGGAGATACTTTCGTAAGGCATCTTGCTGGTCGTTATCAACGAATGTGAGTGCAACTTGTTCAAATGGTTTGCTACTCTTTCCATAAACCCCCGCAGCTTCAAGATATGAGCCTTTACTAATGAGATAGTCACCAGATGCTGTGGCAACAGCATCCTTCTGAGCTGGTCCTTTAGCATAACGTAAGGCTGCATCAAAATGTTCGGTCTGAAGCATAACTTTCCATACATCTCTATCTTCGTCTGTGACAACAATTTCATAAATTTCTTGTGTAGTGAAGAGCCAAAATGTGTTCTTCTCTTGATCAGCGAACAGTCCCAGTGCTTGTTGACCAGGTTCCAAGACCACTTGATCAAATATCACTCTATCGTCCAGTCGATTGACAGCAACAACACGTCCCCCAATCAGATGAAGAATATGCCATTGAGTCAATGCAATCGAGTCGATTGAATCTGGAACTGGCTTCTTGCGACCCATCGAGTTCTCTGAAGCTGGCAATTGAGATCTAGGTAACAATTTCGCCTCGGTAAACAATCTTGCACCTAAATCCGAGGTTGCTGGTGTGGTCATTAATGTACCGTAGTATACACCTTGCGATGATAGCCACGCAAAGGTACGATCTGGGGTCAAACTTTCCATAGACGCAGAGTCGGGATGATTTGGAGACACCACAAGAGAAGAAGCTGCAGTTGTAGATATCCTAGACAACTCATGAACCGTGGGTTGTTCCGTCTCGAAAAGCCGTGTAAATATTGATGCACCTCCTTCATGTGCCACCCGGCCAATCTTGCCTATTAAGTGAAGCACCCGACTTTGTGTAGCTACCATTACTCGTCGAACTTCTTTGGCGTCAGGTCTACCAGTAACGAGATCCACCCACAGTCCGGTAACAGGTCCATCTGGAAGCCTCATAAGTGCTTTTAGGTATTTGTCCTCTTTACGGTAAAATTCCGTAGCTGTTTCGATATACCCTTCATAAATCATTCCATCCGACGTCCCAATGAGTATTTCCCTGGTCGAGGATGTCGGCAACGAGGGATTCCAAGCAATACATTCTATCGACACGCCTCGTAATCGTGAAAGAGGCCTGGGCTGCCTGGATTGTGTATGAAGGTAATAGTTTTCCCCTTGCGAAGTACATATGATCAAATGTGAAGCTGTTGGGTCGAGAAACATGCGCCGTATCACTCCAACTTCCGAGGTCTTTTTGGGGAGATCAATATCTAGATTAACAGTCAACTAGCTGGTCGAAGAGACAGAACATTTTAAAGTCTCACCATCTATATCTGCAGGATTGTCCAAGTCGATTCGGAGAATCCTGCCATTCGAAAGTGCCAAAACCAGGACATTATTTGCAACCTGCGCCGCTACGAAGTCGGAGGCTATAGAGAATTGAAGTTGTACCTTTTCCACATTAAATATAGGAAGCGCAATCTCATTGAGATTGAGATCTTGTAGATTTCTTGCGGCTACGTAGCCGCTTGACGGGTCGAGAGCCATCCGTCGTTGTTATATGAG